GTCATTCACAAGTAGCAGAAGAGTGCGTACTGTACATGCATGCTGTGTGTGTGAGGGTGATATGTGAGCTGTTTCTGAACATGTGTGTGTGTGTGTGTGTGTGTGTGTGTGTGTGTGTGTGTGTGTGTGTGTGTGTGTGTGTGTGTGTGTGTGTGTGTCGGTGATATGTGGCACAGCCTGCACTGACTTGTTTCCCAGCCTGCAGCTCCTGTTAGCAGAACCTCACAAAGCTGCTCTCAGTCAAAGGTCTCCATAGTACAAAAACGCTTCACACTCACCACAGGAATGCTGTTATGAACTAACACACACACACATATACATATATAACACACATATACATATATAACACACATATACATATATAATACACACACACACACACACACACACACACACACACACACACACACACACACACACACACACACACACACACACACACACACACACACACACACATTGCTTGCTCACAGGCACATTCTCCTACCCAGACACACTCTCACCTCAATAAGATAACCCAGGGGTGATTAGATTGAATAAGTACTGTAGAAACACAGTCATTGTAAACCATTAGATTGTTGACGACATGCCCGCTAAGTGCACTGAGAGTGTAAAAGGTGAAGGTCTGTGCCAAGGATCTGACACTTTCCACTGGAACAGAGGAGGAAGCTGGAGCTCTGGAATTAGCATCCCTGTGCAGACTTGTCTTATTAGTGAGCTTCTACCAGAGGACATCATACATTATATAGATACACAGACAGTTATCCTATATGCAAGCGCTGGAGTCACTTTCTATGCAAGAATCAAATGTGTGCATATTCTTTTTTTGAGTGTGTTTGGACTTCACCATAAAGTGCAAGATAACACAAGTTGAAGATATGATTATAGTGGACCTATAGTTAATAAACATTAAAAGAAAAACATGTCTAAGGTATCATGCTTTGTGAGAAAACAAAATGTTAAGCATGGAGGGACCCCTACTGTCTGTGACGGTGTACTGCTGCAAGAGCTTCAGATGTTAAAGGTGCAAGCTAAGTTTACATCAAGTGTTAAAGAATATGGAGGTCTACAAAACATGCTGTATGCGTTTCCTACTTCATAAAATATCTAAAAAGCATGTTTTCCCTTAAAAAGTTGAAACCTTTTTACTGTAACGGCCTTCTTCTCCCTCCATTCTTTTATTTCTTTGCGTGTTATCGCCACCTGCAGATCAGTGGAACAGAATAAAACTATTCAACAGGAATGTGCATTGGATCATTCTCATGCATGTACGTTCTTGTGCATATGTGTGAGAACAGACAGACCTATATGCAACAACATCCCTCCACGAGCTCTCACAAACATCAGGGTACCTTTATGTATCCATGACATCCAGTTGTTTACTCTGAATGCAACTATAGTCATTGTATAACAGATATTTATTAACACTTTGAACGGCTACCATGTAAAGGCCGGATTTTGACATGTTCTGTGTCTCAATCTCAATCTGATCTGTGCAGGTGAAGAGGAGCAGGGGTCCATGGCAGAGGTGTCCTACTACTCCTACGAATACGACCAGGACTCGGAGCATTTCCTCGCTGATGCAGATGGAGGAGACCAGTTTGACCTTCCTGACGGGGGGGCGGACGTAGAGCAGAAGGTTCTCCTGCCGGCAGACACCCAGCTACCCACACTGGACATAAAAAACACCCCTGAGCGATGGTAGGAGATGCTGTATTTATTTAAAAACTAAATGTAATCAGGCTTTCTGGATCTCAGGCATGTTTTTCATGTGTTTTGTTTGAATTTGAAAGTGTAACAGTGGTGTTATTATTGCATTTCTTTCTGTTTCTTTCTGTCAAAGTATCATGTAAAAGGCAAATATCTTTCCCTTAACATTTCCCGAGATGTCTATCCTGTCTATAGCCCGATCTTATTCCTTCAAACAGTAAATAATAATATCCACAGGTGGTTTTAACAGGTTGATATTGTTCAGGGAAATAATCAGAATCAGAAACAAGTTTATCACCAGGTAGGTTGACACGTACGAGGAATTTGACGTGATGTAAAAGTAAAACAAATTTAAAAACACAGATAGAGAACTATAATAGCATTTAAAAACATTATAAAAAATATAGTAAAATATAGCAGTATTTACTTAGAAATAGAATGGAATAAAATATGGAATAAAATGTGGCAGTAATAATTTAAAAAAAGAAATAACATATTATTACATGGTTTAGTTGAATACTCTATTCTGATTGGTCAATTCAGAACATGTGACACGTTGTTAATCCAGAACAGACAGACCACTTATTGACCGTTGTTAAGGACGCTCACATCTGCACAAAGAAGTCCGTTAGATTGAACTGTATACAGTTTGTGTAAGTGTTCAAGTGTCTTAGATGATGTCATAATACAGTTTGTCCTGTTTTCTTTTCGTCCACAGAGACGCCGACTGAGCGAAGCCATACTCGCCTTCAAATTGTACATTATTTGTGAATATGCTAGTGAATGGAAAGAGAAGAGAGACTTGGGACGGGTGCAGCCTGAGAGGAAGAGATAATGGAGTCTGGAGTGTGTGTGTGTGTGTGTGTGTGTGTGTGTGTGTGTGTGTGTGTGTGTGTGTGTGTGTGTGTGTGTGTGTGTGTGTGTGTGTGTGTGTGTGTGTGTGTGTGTGTGTGTGTGTGTGTGTGTGTGTGTGATAGTGTCCTCCAGACTGTTGTTGTTCTTCCTGCAGACTCCTGGTCACCAATAGGCACCATAGCATCTTTGTTATTCACTGTACTGCCATTATAATCACTAGAATAAATAATCAAGTATTTATGTTTGTAATTACACCTGACTTTAAGCAAAACATATTTTGTTATATTTTCTATCTGTGGTATTTATTTTTAGCTAGATGTCATATCATTTTTATTATATTCTATTGTCAACGCCCCTCCCATACTCTCTGCCCTACATTCAAAAGACATGTGCTGTCAAAGGCTTTTACCTTCTTCCATAGCAAGCTTTAACCCAATTATTGAAATGTTTGATGAAATTCCTGTGCTGGTATCCTGCTGGAAGAAGACATATGCTAACCATATGCTTCACCGAAACATAAGCTCAAATGTTTTTCAGTTTAAAGATTAGTTTGGGCTTCTTGCCTTTGTCATACAGCGCAGCACAGATCGACACATTAAGACAGAGAAGGAGACATGACACAAACCCTCTGTGCGACACAAACTGGTCGTACGCAGACACCATCAACATTTACTCTCAAGTCACTCTCTCTTTCTACCTTGAGATTTGATTGTACAGTTCATAAGCTATTTTGTTTTTGTTCAATTTTGATTCGTGAAGCAATCAACTTAAAAAAGAAATCAAGAATGAAGTTTTGAATCTCTGTCAATTTACCAAATTTGATTAAATGTAGCCCCGATTCATAACAAAAATGTGCTTTTTAAGACAAACGAGAATAAAATTTGTATACAATCCAAAGCTGTGGTTTATTTGAGTTTTTAGTATGAATGTCATGGTAATAGAAATAATGTATTTACTCATGTTTTCAGTCATTATTATGTAGCACCTGAGTTTATGATGTAACTTTTGCACATGGTTGCGAACCTATTCCTCCTTTAAAGTGTGCGAGTACTTTGTTTAACCCTGAATATGCAGCACAGTCAGTGGAAGTTTAACTAAACACATTTACTCAAGTATTCATATTTAAATACTATTCTGACATACTTGACTTGAGTATTTCCATTATATGCTACAAATGTTTCTATTCCACTACATTTTAGAGGCAAATATGGCACCTTTTACTTCAAAACATAATTATTTATTATTTATATATATAACCTCATAGGTAATAAGAACCCATAATGTGCTTATATAACATGGTGCAGTGGTGTACTACTAATAAACACAGCATTTGTATTTTAAATTGACAAAAGATGACATGCTGGTGATAAAAATTGAATAATAGTAATCTTAAGTGCATTTTTTTTCTAATAATAACTCTTAAGACCACAGTATTTGTATTTGTACTTAAAGGACCTGGGTACTTGTTCCACCTCTGAGCACATACATGTATTTGATGCACTAGCAGAAAGCTGCGTCGCTCCATTTCCTTTGAAAGGCTAGTTAAGTCTGGAGATGATTTCCTGTCAGAGCAGTGAGCTGTATTACGGCTGCTTTGATAGCTGACTGTGACCCCGCCATGCTTCTGTGTTGGAGACAGAGCATGTACATGTGTGTATCAGATCATACCCACATCTCCAGGTCGACGTGCTCCGAACTAAATGTGTTTTTGTAGCTGCTGACGACAGATTCAGGTTTCCAAAGCAGCAGCCAGGAGAGAGTTAGAGCCTGTTAAAGTTTAATGTTTGTTTTCTCCACGTGTCACTTGTCGACCCTCTTGGTTCCTGTGGCCTCTGGCTGATCGGGCCTGTAAATGAGTCCTTCAAATCCTAAACTACAAATCATCACTCGGATTAGAGGAGATCAAAGAGGGCTCAACTGTAACTGCATCTGGGGGATCAGTCTGACCTTAAGGTGAAGGTAAAAAAAAGAGGGCTGTGTGATGAAAATTCAATGACTGACGATAAAGGTATACTCGGCCTGTCACTGGTCAGTCTGCTGCACTTTCCTCTGCATCTTACCAGTTGCAAGAAAAAGTATGTGAACCCTTTGGAACTACCTGGATTTCTGCATACATTGGTCATAAAATGTGTTCTGATCTTCATCTAAGTCACAACAATAGACAAACACAGTCTGCTTAAGCTAAAACCACACAAACAATGATATGTTTTTATGTTTTTATTGAACACACCATGTAAACATTCACAGTGCAGGGTGGAAAAAGTATGTGAACCCTTGGATTTAATAACTGGTTGACCCTCCTTTGGCAGCAATAACCTCAACCAAACGTTTCCTATAGTTGCATATCAGACCTGCACAACGGTCAGGAGGAATTTTGGACCATTCCTCTTTACAAAAGTGTTTCAGTTCAGCAATATTCTTGGGATGTCTGGTGTGAATCGCTCTCTTGAGGTCATGCCACAGCATCTCAATTGGGTTGAGGTCAGGACTCTGACTGGGCCGCTCCAGAAGGCCTATTTTCTTTTGTTGAAGCCATTCTGTTGTTGATTTACTTCTGTGCTTTGGGTCGTTGTCCTGTTGCATCACCCATCTTCTGTTGAGCTTCAATTGGTGGACAGATGGCCTTAAGTTCTCCAGCAAAATGTCTTGATAAACTTGAGAATTCATTTTTCCGTCGATGATGGCAATCTGTCCAGGCCCTGAGGCAGCAAAGCAGCCCCAAACCATGATGCTCCCTCCACCATGCTTCACCGTTGGGATGAGGTTTTGATGTTGGTGTGCTGTGCCTTTTTTTCTCCACACATAGTGTTGTGTGTTCCTTCCAAACAACTCAACTTTGGTTTCATCTGTCCACCGAATATTTGCCAGTAGTGCTGTGGAACATCCAGGTGCTCTTTGGCAAACTTCAAACGTGCAGCAATGTTTTCTGGACAGCAGTGGCTTCCTCCATTTTATGACCAGCTTATGCAGAAATCCAGGTAATTCCAAAGGGTTCACAAACTTTT